TGACTTTCTCACATTTATCGAGAATACGTAGGCATAGGACTGCGAAGTCCTACCGAGTCTGTTCTTTCTCTTTTCTTCCCCTTTCTCTCTTTCCTCCTAACTTTCTTGTTTCAAACCCTTCTTTTACCCAGTGGAACATTCTTCTTATAGCATAATATTTAAGCAAATAAATTCACACATTGACAAACAAAAGGTTCCCATCGAGTACGATGGATGCGAGGGGTGCTAATACCTTCCCCTCGCATAACCGGCTTCCGAACCCATTCTTGGTTGCGAGACCATCTTATCCATTTTCTTTCTTAAGGTTTTCTCGATATTTTCCTTTCCCCTCACGGGATAAATAAAGTTCGGTGGCGACTTTTCTGTCTATCTCTTTCGCCTCCCCGTCGTTGCACGATGCATTTTTCGAGTAGCGACACCTATAAATTGGGCTTTTCCAATATTACCCTCACTAACTCCTCCTTAATTGTCCAATTTGCCCTTAGTTAACTTATATTTATTTAAATTAATAATAATACCAATATATTCATATCATATACTATTATTTAAATAAATAACTTAAAATCCATAATTCTCAATATTTCACACCAACCATCGAAAATCACCAAAAATGCGAATATTCATATTTAAATAAATTAAATAAATATTCCAATAAAATTTAGGGTGTTACAAATATGAACTATTAGAAGGCTTTAAGATTGTTGTGGTATGGAGAGTTAGCTCATGTCAATTGAAAAGATACCGAATGTGTGTATTTTTAAAAATATTATGTCTCATTCTATCATGGTATTTAGACATTTTTGTATCCCCTAGGCCTGAATCCCAGTCTTCCTAGAATAGTGCAACCACTCCTGGATATTAGTGATGTCCTTTATGACAGTTCAACTGCCACCTGGCATAGCATGATTTACAGTTGCTGAAGCTAATAAATACCTATCTAGAAGATTATTTCATTTTTTTACATTTATTAATAATAATTACTTGTCTAATAGGTTGTAATTTCTTAATCTTAACATTATGATTACTTTTTAACTTTTTTAAATATTAATTAAAAACATTTGTTTTGTTTCTATTAATATATATTAAATTATTTATAAATATTTGGCATGCAATTTTTATATCGTACTTGTTAAACATACAAATGTATTAACTCATGGTGAATACGAGCTAATAGAGACTTTAAGATTGTTGTGGTATTGAGAGCTAGCTTCCGTCAAGTGAAAAGCTATTGTATGTGTGTATTTTCTAGGTTGTCCTCTCTCATTCTATCCAGGATTGAGTGATTGTTTTCGTAAATCGAAGGAGCATAGTTAAATCCCACAACCCCTATGTAACTTTTGTTGACCCAATACATGGTTTATGCATGATTGTAAGTTATGGACGAAGGCACCAAGAGGTGCACTATCTGAGACGCTCAAACCAATAAAAGGTCAAGTTGAGAAGAACGATGGGCTACACTCTGTCCTTTAAGGTCTCTTTTAATTACACCATTACATAGTTCCTCAAGAACAAAGATTCATAGAGGAAAAGTTCTTTTAACCTATGATCCATATTGAGGTTTCCATAAAAGCCTAGTCGAAGCTTTACTCAAACCTTCAGTTCTCGAAACTTACGTGAACCTTTTGGATGAGGTTAGTTGAGTATCCATGGTGAAACTTATTTGAGTCTTCCTGACGAGACATAGTCGATCCCTCTGGAGAGACTTAGTTAATTCTCTCATGCAATACTTAACTAAGTCTTCTTGATGAGACTTAGTTGAGTTCCTTAATTGAGAAATTCTTAAGTCTTCCCGACAAGACTTAGTTGAGCGCTTAGGTGAGACTTAGTTAAGTCCCTAAAGCAAAACTTGGTTGAGTCTTCTTAATGAGACTTAGTTGATTCCATATAGAAAGACTTAGTTAAATCCCTCCTTGAGGTTTGAGAAGACCTTCGTAGTGCGATTACCGATAGAAAGTAGAGATCATATTGTGCAAGTTCGACAGTTTAAGTATCATGTAAGACCACAAGGATCTTATGTGAAAGTCAAATAGTTTAATTACCCGGTAGGGTGGTAAGGATCTCCTTGTGGAAATACAAGAGTTTAATTATCCCATAGGGCGACAAGGATTTTCCTAGAGAAGTCTAGAAAATTAATCACTCTAAAGGGAAGGAAAGAACTTCTTGTGGAAGTCCAGTAGTTAAATTACCATGTAGGGCAACAATGATCTTTCTCTAGAAGTTTACCAATTTAATTAGCATGTATGGGGCAAGGATTTTCCTGTGGAAGTACAACAATTTTATTACACTATATGGAGGCAAGGATCTCCCTATGGAAGTCCATCAATTTAATTACATTGTAAGGATAAATGGATCTACCTGTGGAAGTCTAGTAATTTAATTTCGACAATAAAACCAAAAGAACTTGTTGCAAATATTAGAATATTTTACAATAATTTTTGTACATAAGCGACTTACCCTCATATCAATTAACTATAGTAATATCTCAGATGGACTTAGTTCTATGTTCTAGGAATGGTCGTCCATTTGAGTTTTCATAGGTGTATGCTCTATTAGGCAACTTCTTATATATATGATATGATTCTTCATAGTAAGGTTGTAGCTTTCTCTCCTGGGCGTGCATTACGACTTGTCGTAGCACTAATCTCCTTATTGAATCTCTCTTTGAATCAACTTAGAGTTATATCTTCTAGTTTCTTTTTGTTTAGAGGCAAACTTTCACATGTTTGTGACATATATTGCCTCTTCAATTAGGTCAAAAAAACTTCTTAGCCCTCCTTCATTTTCTTCCTTGTTGAATAGGGAGTGTCACCATGATGGCGTGTTGATCTCGACGGACGGCCTGACGTTTGCCCCTTAAACTGTTGCAAAAGGTGTTTTCTCGATGAGTGGTAGTGTGATAAGACCATAGAACTTTGTGTAGCTACACGACCCACAGTTATTTGGGGCCATATAATATTTTCTTCATCCCCTCCAATATCACATTATTTTCTAATTTTTACTTTCCATTCGCGTGTATATGAAAAACTGATATGAACTTGGTTTATACTCCCATGTTGTTGTAAGAATTGATCCTGGTAGTAATGAAGAACTGGGTTTATTGTATGAGACAAGAATTCTTGGTAAACTGAACATGCACATAATCTTCTACCAATTAAAAGTGGCAAACTCTTTTTTCCATAACCTTGGAAACAACCTCTACCTTTATCCACTTTTTCAAGTAGTATATTTTCATGACCATGAACTTTATCTTGCTAGAAGTTAAAGTAAAAGGTCTCAAAATGTCAACACCTAATTGATAAAATGACCAAGGCACTGTTACAAAGTGGAGAAGATTAGTAGGTACCAGAACCTGTGATTTGATGCTTCCTTTGGGAATGTACTGAATGTTGTTTTTAGAGAACTCGATTGCCCAAGATAACATTATTTGAACCATATTTGGTTTCTTGAGGAAAATGGCTTATGGGATAGTCTATTTTTACCAATATCTGATGTCCCTATAAATAATTTATGAGCTATTTTATGGTCACCGCTATTGCCAATGTGAGCCTTTATAGCATATGATAGTGAGCCTTGGCACCCCGAGACACTTTTCTTACAATATAAACATGTTATTCTACTTTATCTGTTTTTTGGATGAGTACTTAATCTATAATTTCATGCTTTGTAGTTTTATTTCATCCATAGTCTTAATTTGTATAAGATTAGGTTTGATTAGAATTAGGTTTCTTAAACTCAAATGTTGGTCATTCTTGCTTGTCATACTCGATGATTGCAAAACAAGCTATTTTGATAAAGTGTATATTAGTGATGTCCTTTATGGGGGTCCAATCACCGCCTGGTATAGCTTGATTCACGGCGGAAGAAGCCAACAAAATAAGGAGAATGAGAACAAGGGATTGGAATCTCATGATGTTTGATCGATACCTTTTTAAGTTTGAGAAACCTAGATGGTGTGAGTTAGACTAAGTGAAGTGACTGGGTTGTTATATACTCCCTCCGATTAAATTTATAAAAAATAAACAATTTATTTTTTAGATATATTAAATAAACAATTTATTGGTTCATATATAGTTTTAATATATTGATTATTCAATATATCTAAAAAATAACCGATCTCTTATAAATTAGACTAAACGGAGTATATTATATATAAGGTTTTCATAACAAACTTTCTTACTCGTGAAAGTTAATCAAAATTTTCATTTCATTTTATTTTCTTAGATTAAATTAATTTTTTTTACCAAATAAATTAAGTTTCTTTTATTATATTTGAAATATAATATACAATATGGTATATATAATATTTAATAAACTAAGAATAAGATTTATAGAAAAATGTGGTCAACTTTTATATTTCAATCTACAAAATATTTAATCAAAAATATTATATTTAATGTCATAATAAATATTGTCATGTTATTTTATTTTATTAATAAATGTGAGGAAAAAAACTTATCTACTAGACAAATATTTATTATTAAAAAATATAACAAAAATACATATATATAATATAATATAAAATAATATGACAATTTTTATTATGATAATAAATATTGTATATTTTTTGTAATTTGTTTCTAGAATGAAATATAAACTTTGACCATATTTTTCTATAAAACTAATTCTTAGTTTATTAAATATCATATATCAAATATAATTTAAGAAACTTCATTCATTTGATAAAAAATTTAATTTAATATAAGAAAATAAACTGAAATGAAACTTTCGATTTGTTTCCATGAGTAATAAAGTTTATTATCAAAAATTGGTATACAATATACTTTCTTTAGTTATTTATATTTATAAGAAACAAATTATTTTTTAGATATATTAAATAATTAATATATTTCGAATCAAATAAATTAATTATTCAACATATAAAAAATAACTATTTTTTTATAAATTGGACCCGAGAAAGTATATGATAAATGAGTCACTCCACCAAGTCTAACTCACACCATTTTGGTTTCTCAAGTTTGAAAAGATATCAATCAAACATCATGAAATTTCAATCCTTTGTTCTCCTCCTCCTCCTTATTTTGTTGGCTTCATTCACCGTGAATAAAGCTATACCAGGAGGTGGTTGGACTCCCATAAAGGACATCACTAATATACATTATATCAAAATAGCTCGTTTTGCGGTCATCCAGTATGACAAACAAGAAGGAGCAACATTTGAGTTTAAGACACTTATCAAGGGTGAATACCAATCTTTCTCCGTCGGGACTAACTTCCGCCTCACTCTTACTGCAAGAAATGGTTCATCTTCTAGCAATTATGAAGCTGTTGTATGGGAACCAGCATTCGGATTGTTATGGAAGCTCACTTCCTTTAAACATGTTTGAATTATGGAATATTTCTTATGTTGTATTCCTATAACATCGTTTTCATATATGCCTTATTATCATATCAATAAAAAATTTCATAATGGATTGTGGATCTAGTTCTATGATATCATCTTTATAAATTTAAGGCACTTTTGCTTTTGTTGTTCAATTATTTATCTCATGTTTTATTTTTTTTTATAAATTAGTGACAAAGATTTTTCTTTATATTTTATATATATTTATCGATGAGACGGTAAAACCTTATAGGTTATATATGTTGTTTATTTTTTGTTTAGTTATTTTGTAGTTTTTGTTGAGGTTGTATGTAGGTGTTTGTGTTATTTTTTATAATTTTTGTTGGATTATTGTTTTGGACTGGGGCGAGACCTGCCCCTCAATCGGGCAGGCCCAACCCAATACTACGTTTGGGAGGCCCAACAAGGTCCAATTTTCCCTTTGTCGGGCACACATCTCAACAAAGCCCCCAGTCGGGAAGACCGTTAACAAGCACATGGAGAGCTCACGCGTTCTCTCCACCTTCTCCACGTGTTCCCCACACGGGGACACGTTATCAAGCAACTAACCACTTTCCTACGCCATGTAAGCCTTGGCAGTTACTCGTATTGGTCCTTGCAAACCATCCCAATGCAAAGTAACCATTAGCCTTGCGCTAGGGGCACATTATAAATACCCTCTTTCACTAGAGGGTCTCATATTCTATTCTTTACACCTATCTTCTCTGTACTTACGCTTTCTAACTCCATTATTCACTTAAGCATGGGAGTAGCTTGCAGGTACTCCCCCTCCTCTTCCATAACACCGGTGATCACAAGAGCTCACGACGCGTCACAGGCTGCTGATTCCTTTCTGATCAGGTAAGATCAGTGGCGTCGTCTATGAGAACCCTTTGCTCCCTCGTTCTTTCTCTTATACAAGCGTAAAAGCTCAAGAACTAAAGCAACATCCAACTTTTGTTTAATCATATCCAACCCACGCAATGACAACGCTCTAGAAACCGTATTCGTCCCCTTCACCAACGGTGACAGCCACGATCCTAATGTCACTGTTCACGTCGAGGAGGACGACTCCAGGGACGAGCACACTGCCTCACCCTCCTCAGAAGACGCGACCTTCAACGCTTCCTACCGCTTTTATAGCTTAACTGTCTACTAGCCTATCCCGGTGAGACCTAGCGCCGACCCCACCAAGGTGTCCTTTTTGCTGTGATCAACCAGACCAACCTGATGATCTTCCAACAAAATGAACGCATATGGATGCTCGAGAAGGAGCGACATTCACGCTATCCCCGGTGAAGAAATCGTCGCCCCATCTCCAATAACCCCTCTCCTCTCCCGCAAAAGACGCGACGCGACGACTCTCGGAGCCCTTCTCCCTGACCTATTAGGCATCACCCTCACTTGGAGCGGCCTTAACCAGTGGCCTTCCAAATGCGCGATCACTCACCTCCACGAAAGAAGCAACGCTCCCACGTGCAGAAAAGGAACAAAGCTTAATGAGGCACCGGGAAACCAAAGAGCCGCCCGAGGAGTCCTCTTTGACGAAACAAAAACAATCTCGCTGACCTTTCCCCTTCTCGATCACTTGTCAGGAGCGACGAGGACGACTAGTGCTCGCTATCTCATCGCTCCAAAGAGGGGCCGACAATGACAGAAGAGTCGCCACCGTTTGTTATTTATCCCAAAAGAGGGAAAGGAAACGATCAGAGAAAACCTACAAAAAGGGAGAAGACAGGTCATCGCAACCATGTCTCAAGTTCGGGAGTCGGTTACGTAAGGGGAAGGTGTGAGCACCCCTCACGTCCGTCGTACTCGACGGGATCCACACTTTGTTGTCTATCTAAAAGGGTGTTTACTATCTAAGCTACGGCTCAGGGAAAAAAGAAAAGAAAATAGACTCGACGGAGCCTCGTCGCTCTATGCCTACGTATTCCCTCGTGCAATGGGAAAGTCAGAGTCAATGTAGTTCGGCTAACTACGGGTAAAAGGTGGGGGAAGGTTGCTTGCCAAGACATCGTTGTCTTGTGCCTACATATCCTCGTCTAGTACAAGAAATCAGAGCAAACGTAGTTTGGGCTAACAAGAACATCGGTTGGTTCAAAATGTTTTAGGCCCGAGTAGGGTTAAAACTTAGTTCTAGCAGTTAGGTGTATGCTGCTCGACCATTGGAGATTTAGGCGTTACCCGTTTGTAGTAGAACCAAGAGTTAACAACACTCTCCTTATGAAAAAGTTTTTCCAAATTAAGATCCGGGAGGATAAAAATATTTCAAGTTTGTTTTGTGTTTTTTAGAGAAGAAGTGCATTGATTATTGTTTGTAATTCATGTTGCACTAAAGACTATGACCTAGGAGTGAATGCGTCGCATATCGTCCAAAGGACATACGCTAAACACTCTAGATAATTGAGAGGAGGCCCCCCAATCACCATTTCCCAAGTGATAACACGAAATCATATAGATATTTTCATGCATAATTCGACTAAAAGCTAACCGTTTTCGATCCGATTTCGGGTTATTTCCATGTTTTTGTCTGATGTTTTTGCAGGTATTCAACGATCACGTCTAAACAAGGCAACATGAAGAAAAGAAGCAATCCCAGATGAAATATGGACGAAAAAGGAGTGAAAACACAATGAAAAGCGCAGCAGACAGTTTTTGCTGATGTGACGACCGTCACAGATGCATGACGACCGTCACACGGGTGACGACCGTCACACCTTGTGACGACCGTCATGCAGGCAAAAATGCCCCACTCAGATTACACGTCAAAAGAGCAGTTCCAATTCCCATTTCATGGTCCACTACTCCCTAAATTATCTGCCTCAAGGTCCACCATCCTCAGAGGTAACCGTTGGAATTCCACCTCTATAAAAAGGGAAGCAGGGGACTTCAAAAAGGGGAGTTGCATTCATACCACGAAGTGCTTCCCAAATTTATTTTCAAGAGCAAATTTAATTTCTAGCCTTTTTATCATTTGTATCCATTTCTCCGGTTTCAATTGTACCCCTTTCCTTTATTTCCCTTTCCATTCTACTCATTCCCATTTCCGCTCTACTGTATTTGTTACTGCACTGTACGATCAAATTGGAACTAAAGACAGAATCCTGCCAACATCTGTGGAGGATCTGCCCAAAGGCCAATTGGCATTATTTACAGGTTTTCATTTTGATCGACTCTTATTTTATCATAATGCAATTTATTATTTATTATTATTATTTATGTTTTGTTTTCCCAAATTCCATGTCTAGCTAAACTTAGGTAATCGATATGTAGTAATAATTCGGATGGGATTTGATAACTCTTGTTTGAAAACTTTCTTTTCACAAAAATAACTTATGGTCTAAGTGTTTAAAAATTGATTTACGAAATAAACTTCGTCGCGAAAGCGAGAACTTGTTTTAAAGTAGTTTTGCCACGAAAGTGGGAAATTAATTAAGATACGAACCAACAAGCGAAAGCTGCGGTAAGGTCAGATAGTAAACACTAGGCATTCGTTTTAATAACAGCGAAAGCACTTTAAAACTAATTAGAACTTAGAGATTTCCAAAAAGTAATTTTAACCCCGAACGGAACACGAAAGTGTACGTTAGGCCCTTAGGATTATGATTAGCGTCAATAACCATCGTGAGACGAGAGTCTTCAAATCTCCACTTTTTGCTTAAGTAAACTGCGAAAACTATTTTATACACCAGTAACTTATCAAATCCCTGAAGAACATAATTACTACGTATCGATTTAATTAATTAAAAATCCAAACAGTAATCTTAGTTCCCCTTTTAGTGACAACCTTATTCCCTTAAAACATATTCTACCTAGCTAAACATAGTAACTCCCGAGAACACTAGTTTGATTACGAGTCTCTGTGGGATCGATATCTTTTATTACTACGCGATAGACTGTGCACTTGCAGTTAGAATTGTTAGACATAGAAAGTCGCGATCAAGTTTTTGGCGCCGTTGCCGGGGACCCGTTTAGTCAATAGTGTAACCTTCTGTTACTCCGTATAGACTAGGTAAACAATTTTCATTTTTCCTTTACTAGTGTTGTCGATTGTATGCCAAGTGATCGCCCACAAAGAGATATCTTGAAACCTTCAGTCGCAGAACTAGAACGCTTCTTACATCTAAGAAGCCGAATCATTGAGTACCAACTCAAACATAACATTCCTGATCCTCTCACTCCCATTCCCAAATCCGAAGAAGAACCAACGATGGCTGAAGGACCTCCGAACAAACCGCTGAAGGCATACGCTACACCATCTCAGATGGAGCCTAGAAGTAGCATTGCTGCCCCAGCTATTACCCAAAATGATTTTGAGCTGAAACCATCATTGTTGTCGGCTGTACAACAAAACCAATTCTCAGGAAACGCAACTGAGGATCCGAACGAACATCTAACGAAGTTTGTACAATACGCAGACACAGTGAAAGCAAATGGAGTAACTCCAGACGCGATAAGACTTCGTCTTTTCCCATTCTCTCTTAGAGACAGAGCGTGGACATGGTTACAATCGTTACCATCCAACTCCGTTACAACGTGGGAGCAACTGAAGAACGTCTTCTTAGCGAGATATTTTCCACCAAGCAAAACTGCTATGCTTAGAGCTCAAATCAACGGATTTCGACAGAAAGATACTGAATCTCTCTATGAAGCATGGGAACGATTCAAAGATATGATGAGAACATGTCCTCACCACGGTCTAGAAGACTGGGTGACAATCCATACTTTCTATAATGGGCTTCTATACAATACTAGATTAACCATAGACGCTGCCGCGGGCGGTGCACTTATGGATAAGCCATACGATGAAGCCTATCAATTGATAGAAAACATGTCACAAAACCATTGCCAATGGAAAGGTGAACGCACTCCAAATGAGAAAACCTCAGCGAAAGGTGGGATGTACGAAATCAGCAGCCTTGAAAAGTTCAATGCTAAAGTAGATGCTCTAGCACAAAAGATCGATAGTCTGACCGTTAACCCCACTGCAATTGTCGCTGC